ACCAGCTCTGCTGAACGCCCGGTATAAAAAGGGGCTTCATTATGAAAGTGTCGTGATGAAAGGAATTCAGTTGCTTCTGGGAGTTGGAAGGAAGAAGGTAAAGGTATTTGATTTAATTTTTAGAGTTGTGTTTCAACCGCCGCTACCGTAATTAACGTTGCAACTATCCCCGCCCGTCGGTCGGTTGCTATCGTTCTTGTCCAGATATTTCAATGGGTTTTGTTGCATCTGAAAGCGCTTGCCAGGGCAAATTAATATTTTAGAATTTCAGCCATGATACGCCATTTTGCTCTTCTAGTATAAAAACAGTCAGCCGCCCACTGCAAACAAATTGTGCTATTATATTTTCATCCCTATCTAGCCCATGCGAAGAAAAAGACGTTTTGCAGCTGTAGGCGGCTTGCCTGATAGACGTAACTGTTTTTATATTAGAAGAGCAATAGTAGCTTTTGTTTCCTATGCTAAATTAAAACGAACATTGGAACTACAATGCCATGCAGGTTTAGCAGTTATCAGCCTAATAGCGTCGACTTCGCCGGTTGATCCCGACATTCCAATGGACAATGGGTGTTAATCGGAAACCGATTCTGGAATTTTGAATATGGCAAATTACTAGGCAAATTAAGTAAGCATAATTAACCATTGACACTTAAATGGGTTACAAAAACCTGTCCGATTGAGCTGGGCCTTATCTGAAAAGAAGTGTTCTTAAATAACTTAAATTTTGACACCGGTCCCGTATTTTTAAATCGTCACCGACCGATTAAAAAGTAAGTTACTTTCCGTTTCATAATTATAAGGAGGGAAATAAATTCAATTACTTAATTGGATGTTCGGTGAACTTTTGCCGGAACCTCACGCACCAACGGTAGCTTCGGTTCTCCTTTACACAAAAAAAATAAAGATTACAAAAATGAAATTTAATGAAGGTAATAAAAAAACAAAATTCAGCGGGGGTACGTGACACTAATAATCCCCCCCCCCCCCATCGCCGGTAATTTACAATACAAGATATGTAGATTGTAAGTCGGCGGAAGACGACTTAACGGCAGCAGGAAATGGCGAAACGGGAGTGATATGGTTTTCGGAAACCCTGCTTCTGGTAAGGATTCGGAACGGCGGTGTCGGGTGCTACAGGTAACTCGAATGGAGAACGGCGGTCCCAGGAGTTCTAAAAGGCAGGCGGTAGGCGGCTTCTGGTAAAGGCTAAAAAAATCTTAAGGCACTCAGCAACTTTCCTAAACGAGAACAGTAAATAAGAGGATTCGGTAGCGGTTTCTAAGGGAAAGCAATTGCAGAAACAATATTTATAATACTCCACGTAAGAAACTTTAATTTAATCCGCGACAGTTCCGTCGAACGCGATTTTTACAGCCTTTAGACTTTGACTGACGGCTTGGCACTAATTTTGTAATTGAGCGTTTCTTTGACTTGGTAAAGCTCCTCGAGAATTAAAAAAAATGTCAAGCTCACGCTTAATGATCGAAAAACTGACCCTCTCTATTTCATCCCTGCTTATTCAATTTTTAAGAACCGTCTAAAATATGACGCGAATATGTCAAAACCGTCATCTTTAATGGTTAAGCAATAGACTGCGCCTACTTGGCCCAATCAGACGCGTATAAAGGCCATTAATCAAAACCCACATGATTTTAAGATCGACTAGTGTGCGCTTCTCACGCTGAATCGTCGCATCAATATGAGTAATTATGATTTACCTGTTTTGGTTACCTAAAAGGAATTAACATTGTGTTATCGCCCGCCAGACTGTCGCCAATAACTTTTCCCATGCAAGTAACCGATCATGACGCATCTACGGCGTACCTCATCTATTTTCCTGTTTGAAAAATTATTACGCATTAGAAATTTTAGAGGAATTTGATAGGAACTTAGAAAGATGTGGAAATATGAAGATAACCTGAGAGGACATGGAGAAAAACTTGAAGCAGAGCAACCTTGGTAGTAGTGTGTGTTGGGGACATGAAGGAAGTTTAAAAGGAACCTTGCACATGACATACTAGAAAAAAAGCAGACATGAAAACGTTATCCGGGCCGCACAATGGATTCGAATAAACACACAATTAATTGATTGACAATGATAACAGTATCTAACATAGTGAAAAAAACAGAAATACCTGCAAGAAAGAAAAGCTTACGAAGCTTGTTTGGACATGTTACTCCGCACGCAGGTGGTCAACAAAATAAAAAATATTAAATACTTATGACCGTTTGGAGCGACAAATTTAAGGGGAACTTAGCTTAGGCGTAGCTTAAAATCCATGACAACCATTGTCTTAATAATTGCTTAAATTTGTCGGTGCAAACGGCCATTACAGTTTTTTTAAATAAACCAAATAATCTGGTCGTACAAGATTTGCAATTACCTCACACAAATGCTGATAGTTTCCGAAAACTTTACTTGTTCTTGATAACACTGAACTTGGTGACAAAATTTGGCTTGTAGAATTTGATGACAAATTTTCGGTAGTTATTCGGACGGTAGAAGCTTTCAACTTTTAATAAAAAGAAAACCTTAACAATAAGGTCTCGCTATACTACACTACTTCCTTTTTCAACTAGTAAACAGACAACAGAGATAATTTTGGTGACCTGGCTTCTGCACAGATTTATTATAAAAAAAATGATGAACTGCGTTTTCAATCAAACAAATAGGGCTGACTGCCCGAGATTTAGCATAAAGAAATTTATACGCTCTTTAATCGTCTCGGAAACTCAGCTGCAGCCGTTTACTCGCTGTCTCCCGTATTTAAGGAAGCACTACTTCCACCATAAAATTAACTTCTACAAAAAAAATTCAAACAACACGCCAATCAACGACAAAACGCGCCAAACGTCCCCACTACTCCAATATCAAATGCGTTATCTCAACAGAAATTAAACACGTGTGTTAATTAATTTTCGCTTCATAAAACTTATCGCGACGACCAGATGTGTCTTACTTCTAACACTTTATATAGATTAAATAAATTACAAAACCTTACCTTTATCATGCATTTAGAAAATTTATAAAAAACAACACTGAGATACAAATTCAAGTGAAATGAACCAACTCTGCGCTTACTTACTAAATAATCCACCAGATTTATTTAATAAATTGAAATATTCTTATATACAGCGTGTCCCGTTATTATTTTACAGGACGTTGTTTACACAACAATACTCACCCACGGGGACTATAGTTAAATCTCTAGTATGTCTACGTCCCTTTAAGAATTCCTTAAGAGGCACTACGGCTATAGAGGCACCGAGGCGACTCGGTGAATTAATAAAAATAATAAATAAAATAAAATATATACTCGTAGAACTAACTAGGTCAGTGGCCAATTCACTAAAAACTTCTGAAGGAGGATTCAGTGATGGGTCTGAAGATACAATATCGCACTTGGTTTTATGCTAAGACAAATCATTATGCCTGGAATATAGGTAGATCGAATCTCGACTTGTGGTATCAGTCCGAAAAATACTTTCTTCTTTTTTACAAAAATCAGACCTATAGCCCGAGTGCTATCACACCAACCTCTTGCCGAATCATACGTTTAAGAGAGATGTACCGGGTGACCCAATAAGACTGTTCCTCGGCCATATCTCGAGAACCGTTTGTCATATGACTTAGGGGTAAAAAAATTATTGGATAAATCGGTCATGAGGAATCGCTGGAAATTATTTTCAAGTTCTATAAATGACCAACAGAGGGCGTAACTGCTATCTTAAACTTTAAAATTGCATTTTCTGTAATGTTCACATAATAAACTAAAAAAAATGTTTTCACGTTTTTAAAGAGAACCAGTTTATCTATCATTTCCGTAAACAAAAACTCAAGTTATTTCAAAAACAAAGATGGTGTGGAGCGTTCAATTGTTATTGCAATAGCCTGCTTAACTTCTTAACCGTTTGACCGATTTTAACAAATTTGGTATGGTTTAAAAGAGCATTCCTTGGGCAATGAAAATCAACGAAAATATAGTTCATTTAGTTGAATCCTTCTCCGCCAGGGGGCTAGTTTTGACACTATGACCCAAAATCCTAAAAAAATCAAAAAAATCAAATGGAATGATATGACCTTTTCTTTATGAAAAAGTAGCCAAATAACATCCAAAGAGGCCAGTGAAAACCGTTTTTCAAAATCTCGTTCCTCCTCAAATATTGGGAAAATGAGATTAATTTGTATTTTATTTGACGTATTTCCGGTATTTGTCGATGGCGCGAAAGATTGTTTAGAAAAGGACCTTACACTTTTAGGTAGGCCTTGGAAAATTAAACAAATGAAACAAGATGCATTATAAAATTCAGAAAGTGCAGTTTTTTGAATTTATAATCTATTCTAAAATGCCGATTTCTAACCAAGAAGCATCTAATATGCTGGCGATATATTTTGAGTATTTTCAAAATGCGACCATCGCTGCCTTCATCTTCTATTTGCGTTATCCGAATCGACCACGAACCATCGCCGCCAGCATATTAAATGCTTCTTGGTTAGCAATCGGCATTTTAGAAAAATTACAAATTCTAAAAGCTGCACTTTCTGAATGCGTAAACATTTGTTTTAGTTTATTATGCGAAATTTAAAGAAAATGCAATTTTAAAATTTAAGATGGCAGTTACGCCCTTTGGTGGCCATTTTTAGAACTTGAAAATATTTTCCAGCGATTCTTTATAACCGATTTACCCAATAATTTTTTTACCCCTAAGTTATACGACGAACGGTTCCCGAGATATGGCGGAGGAACAGCCTTATTGGGTCACCCGGTACGTATTTACACAGACGACAAGATGAACAAAGCCTAGACAATAGAATTTGTTTTGGGCAAAGATTGTGAAAGGTCTTTCTGTAATTATTTCGTTTAAACTTAGTAACTGACAGCAAAATAGTATCTTCTTTTGAATAACACGGTCAAAGATTATCTACACGTATACTTAATTATAACGAAATAGAATTTCTTGAAAATTGTGACAAAAACATGTATAGGGTGCCCTTTGATTGGCCCCACGATTATCGAACTTGACACAAATATCGAACAGAACTGACGCTCTCGGTTCAGTCGCTTGTAACAAGGCACACGGTCAACATGGCAATCGTCAAAATTCTTCTAAGTCTTGCACTTGTCGTAGCGTGCGGGGCCATGCAGGCCAACTACTTCGGGGGCCCTGGCAATGCACCAAGGGTACGTATGATCATAGGTATTTTTAACACGAGAGCTATTAATTTTATTCCGAAGATATCGGTACTGATTGAGAAATCCTCGAACATGTCCCCCAGCATGGAGTTGGACGCTTCCGATATGTTAAAGGACGCGATCGCGTCGAAAGGTGCGCAACACCACAGCGAAATCTGTAACACGTTGAGGCAAAATTACGCTCACAAGCATGACGGGTTCGTATGGCACGTTGTTATGTACAAGGCCTACTCGATCCAACCCATTAAAAGTATCGAATTGAAGGTGGATCATGATATGTATATGCTTTTTGCCACTAAAAAATAATTGTATTTTATGCTCAATTGACAATAAAAAAGTTGTTTATCGCGTTTTTACTTACACTGCAATTATTCGCTGAATGATGTAAGTGATGACCTCGATTATCTAAAATTTTCTCGAATTTCTGTTCGATGAACTATTGTAGTTATCAAATTCTGCAGTTTATTCAATAACGTCCTAACGTCACGAACTCCAGCCTGGATTCCATGCCCAATGTCCTGATAGGGTGGTGTTCAAATAATGAGGATCACCTTCGACTTCCCTCCCTAGTCGCTTACAGTCTGTCAATATCCGAATAGTTTATGAGCTCGTAACGTCTTTCCGTCCGGATATATGCACCAAAAGACCTTGGATGTAGTCACCGACGTAAGTAATGATAATCGAAAGCTTACTGCCACTTAGGCCACCAACCATACACTATCTAAAATGGCAACGTTGAAGTGTAACTTTTCCGGTGGGAATTTATATCTAAAATGGCAACGTTGAAGTGTAACTTTGTTTCTGCATTTCTTCGTCACTGCCTTGATATAAACACTACAGTAGGTATAATTACAAAAATTGGGCAACCGGATTTTATGCATTATATTCTGGCAAACTTAAGACAATAATTGACATTTGTAGCTTAATCTCGTTTTTCTCTTCATTGAAATGAAAAATGGCTTTTAATGTTAATCAAGTTTTTATTTTAGTGATCCAGTTTTGTTACACACTGGCAAAAAAGCCCACGTAAACGTAGTAAAAAAATAAAATTTAACGATTCAAATTTCTTTCTTTAGGTTGTTTTCAATCGAACCCAAAAGTCAAAAAATTGTAATTATTGTCATTGAATCCTTTTCTCTGAATTTAAAAAATTGAGGTAACAAATTCAGCAACAATTCCTAACAAGTAACCGATGAAGTGGTAATTAAACTCCTCGGCATTTAAAATCACATTTCCTTTTAATGGAAGAACCATATGACCACATTGCTTATCTAATAAGTAATTAACAAGGCATTTACATAAAGCGCATTTCCACTTGCATTCATTTCCTATTTGTAACATGCAACTTTTGTTAAAATTGTAAAAATCCGGCCACAAATATGAAAGATAGCGTTGCACATGTGCAATCCATTTTTGACGTGCTACTTCAATTTCAGTTTATAAGAAGAGTTTCATTTCAATGCTTTTCTAAATAAGAAAGTTGGAACTGCGCATGCGCAAACCTAAATTTTGAAGCTAACGTTAGATTTTCGTTTGTTCCAAGTGGTTATGTATCAAATTTCATTTAAATCCCTCCATAAATAAGAAAGTTGGCACTGCGCATGCGCACAACCAAATTTTGAAATTGGCCTTGAGTTTGCTTTTATTCCAAGTGGCTATGTATCAAATTTCATTTAAATCCCTCCATAAATAAGAAAGTTCGCACTGCGCATGCGCAAAACCAAATTTTGAAATTGGCGTTAAATTTGCTTTTATTCCAATACTTTTATAATTAAAAAAGTTTGCAATTCGGTTTATAAATGGTCAAGAAAGGGCACTGTGAATTTTGAATCGATTCGACTCAACTTTTGGCATTGCCTATTATATGGCTAAAGCTATGCCCATATTGAATTTCATGCAATTCAGTTTATAACTAACGGAGATGTAAAAGCGATTGGACATTTCTAAACAAAGTTATCGTTCACACGGACAGATAGAGAGACAGACAGACAAAGGAACAGACAGACAGACCAACAGGCAGACGACAGACAGCAATGTAAAATATTAAACGATCTCTAGGATCGTTAATAAACGGCCTAAGTGTAAAATTATGGATTTTTTGTAAGCGGTACAGAAAAAATTCCTTCCTTGGTGCAAGACTCGACACTATAATGAACCAAATAGCGAAAAAAGTAGAACAATAGCTCTTAAGATAAGAAACTAGTAGCGTCTCAAAGTGAGCGGACGGACGGACGGACCGACGGACGGACGGACAAAGTGGCCACAATAGCGCATTTTTTTTGTGGAAATGCGCTAAAAACAGATTTACCAATTCTTGGTATTATACCTGCTGCAGCGTTTATGTCAAGGCAGTGACAAAGAAACGCCGAAGCAAACACGACAATACACGACGCCGTGCGGCCCATCCCACACGAATTACAGCCGGAAAACTCACACTTCAACGTTGCCATTTTCGATAGTGTATGGTTGGTTACCTAAGTGTCAGTAAGCTTCCGATTATCACTTTTGTCGGTGATCTTACATGCACCGATTTCGCTCGTTTGTCTCAAACTTTATAGTTCGTCATTATTAAATGTTGTTCCCATCATACGTCTGGATAAAAAGAAAATGCGCCCATTCCATTACTTAGATAGATATGTGTATGCACTGACTCGACGGACTGGGACTAACCGTTATCACCTTCCTGTCTGAGTCCACCCTTTTGACAACTGGCAAGTGTTCGTGAAAAGGGGGATAAGGAAGTGTACTCGAATGAAAAGTTTCCATAAAATTAATGAATTTTTAGGGGAATTTTTCGAAACAAAAAAATTTCTCTATGTGATGCTTTTGTCCATCTGTCCGCCTGTTCCTTGCCTAATTCCGCGTTTACACGAGGCCAGTAAGTAGGCCAATAGCTGAACTCCAGTGACTGGATTCCAGTAGCTGACCTGTCCAGTCTGGTGAATTAACGTTTACACGAAGGCAGTTCATTGGACCATTGAATAACGAAATTCTCGATTGGTCCCAGCCAGAATGTCCAGTCGGCCAGGAACCATGGATGATCAGTGTCCCGCTAGGACTTAAATACAGTGTTTCACCAAATATGTCACGATTTAATCACTAAGTCTTGTGATGGGTCCCGGGAAAAGTTGGGAAAAAAGAAAGAGTGGATCAGAAAGTTGAGAAAAGATTCAGAGGGTGCACCATCTCAGTTGCTCAATTAAATCGGTTACACAAACATTCTTTCGCCTATTCTATTTGGCGAATGTCATGTCATTCCCCACTTTTTAGGTCCACTGCTAACTATCGTCGTTATGCCGCCTCGTTCCTTCCTCGTCTAGTCGCCATGTCGTTTCGACGTCTTGATGTTTGTCGCTTTACTCCTCTGCCTCCATTGTCTCTCGTATCATCTACTTTTTGCTTTCTTGTTCCTTTATCTTTTGATCTCCTCGCATCTTCGTAACGTTGTCTCCTAGTATGCGACCTCTTCAGTGTTATAGCCCAGCGATTCTCAACCCAAGGCGGTCGCGCATAGATTTTTGAGGGTCGCGGTAAGTACAGGACAGGCAAGATAATTTCGATTTCAATTCCGAATTCAACAAAATGCAAAGTGCATAAGAAAGTTGTGACGGAAACAGTACCTACTCCGTACTCAAACAGTCGATATTTAAAAATTAGAAAATCTTAAAATTACTTACAATTTTTTTTCTTTTAATAATCCTAAAATCTAATCGTGGACAGGTTTGCGATAAACGGACGCACTTAACTCAACACAAACGCTGATAGCTTCAGAACTTCATTTTCCTTTATCACAAACTTGACGATAACCGAACGGCCATGTTGAACACAATTACAAAAATTATCGGTGGCTACTCGAACAGTTCCCCTTTACATTTTTTGCAAAAAACAAGAGAACCTCAACAGAAGACCTCGCGGTGCACAAATGCCGCTTCCTTTTCTTCAATTCAACTTGACAAATTTTTCCGTAAAACGGACAAACCGCTTTAAACTTCTCACAAAAATATTTTGAAGACGACTAGCTGCGTCCTCAATCAATCGAACCGGGCGGGCAGCAAACTCTTTTCCAACCGTCGTGAATCAGCCATGTTTTTTTGTTGTCTCCCGTATTTAAGAGAACACCACTTATATTCTAGAATAAACTATCGCAATTAAAAAGAAAATGTGCGCACTGATGCCTTGGATTTTAAAGTTTGCAAGGTCTTATTTTGGTGTATTAAACGCATTTGTTTTTCCTACAAATAAAGTAAAAACCTATTCCGAATAGTAAATAAGCGCAAAAACGTCCGTGTGAGCCCATACGGGGGAGATTTTCCTAATGGGGTATTTACATGGGTCAATTTTCTCCGTGCGATTAATCGGTTCACAAAGCCGCATCGCCACCTCCTTTACACAGTTGACTGGAATCACAACCGTTGAACAGATTTTAGTTACCAGCCGCATGGTACCACCCCCCGCACGGCCAAAAGTCGGATGCTAGTCTACTTTGGACCAAGCGATTTTAGTCACTTGCGGCCTAGCCGAATTGACATTTAGACGGTCGATTTTTGCCGCGCGGTTTTGCAGTGCGCGGAAAATCGACACGTGTAAACCCCTTGTATAAGAGACTTCCACCATTCGGTAGAGATTAGATCACCCAAACCTACGTCATCCAGTTTATAGAGAGGTCTTTTAACAAATTTGTATACATCCATGTACAAGCACTAGCCTTTGCCTTAAGGCACTTACACGATAATTAGCGAGAAAAGGCCATCCTAAATACGATCCTAAAAGAGAAATGTGTCTGTCTTTTTCTAAAAAGTCTTATGAAAGGATGAACACAATCATGGGTGAAAGCGATACCGGGGGTCCGGGGGTATGGAATGCATACGAAGATTTGGATATATTTAACCAAAGGTTACCATGAGGGTGCAAGGGATAACAAGAATTAACGGGTCCTCCTTTGCTGAGGGTACTGCTGGGGAGTATTCCATACCCCCAGGATAGAAACGAGTTTTAAATCAAGCCGTTTATGCAGTCTTGCTGATATGCCGGGGTGTAGATAACGACAACAGTTGTTGCGTCGGAAAATTCCCATTACTCTAGGTGTTGATTGGATTAATGAGTATTAAAGTTTAAATGCGCTTAACTGGGTAAGCATTGTTAATGAATGACGTTTTAATGAGTTGTAGATCAAACCGGCAGACGGCATCCAGAGTTATATCAAAATGCTCGTCAAAATGGGTGCGCTTAAAAGACAGGAAGTTCGATTGCCATCTTAAATTTGTTCGATAACTACAGGCCGAGTAATTAATTAAAACCGAATTAATTTGAATCGCTTTAATCTAGGCTTTAGTCGTAAATACGGCGAAGAACTGGAAATTCCCTATTCCATTGCCCCAAAATTCGGATTTATTTATAAAGTAACGCTGGATTTTGTGGGCATCTGTTGCCATTTTTTATTCTTGCCGTAAGTAACTTAATTTATTGAGTCAATTTTTGCGAAACTGTACCGTTTACGGGTTTTGTCACATTGATACCTATACCAGGATATGTCGCTTAATAATTATTACTTCTATAGTTTAATTTTAACTTGACGATTAGGCAACACATCTTACTACCAACATTTTCATTTAAAATCAATGACGCTAGAGACAGAATGAGTGTGTGTAATTTCATCAAATAATACATGAAAATGTGATTCACTCATCATATGTTGAGGTACACGTTTCCAATGCCTGGAGCGTTAACACACACATGCTGCAATTGCTTTTATGATGTAACAAGTGTTGCAATTTTATTGATACAAACAATATGACTTATCTAAATAAAATAAAATAAATATCTAAGTCTTAAGTGAAGCTAAAGAGATACCAAATAAGGTGTACTTAAAATCGTCTACCCTCAAGTCGATGGACACATCTCTGTGGATAGCGTACGATTTATATTCGACGCAGTTCCAAATATATCCAGAATATTTCGCCATGAAGTAATCCCTAAGCCCCTTGCAGGGATTATCGGAGTCTTCGTCGATAAATCTTTTCAACACCTGCACGGCCTCAGTTTTCATAACGTCCGTCATTTTGTCACTGTCTATTATTGACACCTGTACCAAAAACTTCGACGTTACCACTCAACATAAAATTACATACCAAGGGTTCAAAGATGTAAGTCATCACCAAGCCTGTGCCAGTGCGGTTCGCAATTGCGTTTCCATCCACCGATAAAATCGCCAAAGATAACAGAAGCAAAACTATTATTCTCGCCATTTATTTCGTCTTTAAGCTGAAACCACTGCTCTACAAATTCTCCGTTGACCTTCTCCCAGTTTGATAAGCTGAAAGTAAATAAATTGTTGCATAAATAAAAAAAAACGAAACAGCATGCGAAACGTAATAGATCGACTGACTGCATGCTTTAAAAAATAATTAGTGGTAAGTCTGCGGGCTACGATTTTATTAGCTCTGTGACAGTTTTTAACACTTAACCCTGCGGTCGCGGTTTGGTCCCAGGTTTCAACTTCGGTTTCACAAACTGACATGTCTGGCACACTTCTCGTTCTATTTACGTTTACGGTCCGTGCAACACGAATTTACCATTTCGGAATCCGCGCGAATAATTTCCACAAGATATTGAATTAGATAACGAGCCAATTTAGTAAGCGGAAAAAAATGTGGACAAACCACTCCGTCAAAAAATGTACCGATAGATTTCAGGTCTTTATTTTAATGGTCATACATTATAAATAATAATCCACGTACACACAGAAAGACAAAGTGGCGTGATTGACAAATCGAAAAAAAGAGAACCGGAAGAAGCATCATCTTATAAAACAGTTTGTGGTTTGATGCGATCGATAAGCACTTCTTTTTCCGTTCCTGAATGATGTCACTTATATTTTCGGTGTAATTTTCTCACAATTACGCTTAATATTGAATTCTACTGGGCAGATCTAATTGTCCACTAATTATTAATGGTCACTTTTTGCTACCTTACTTATTGCTGGAACATTAAAAACCCGTCTATTCGAGTGAACAAAAATTAAGACAAAGACACCAATAATATATTGAGCGCGTTTTAACAGCAAGACTGTCATCATCAGCGAATAACTCCACTCAGTTGTTCCCTGATGATGACAGCTTCACTGTTGAAACGCTCTGTTGATTGTGCCTTTGTATTGTTTTACTAAGTATTTATTTACGCATTCCGGTGGAAGTAAACATATTACTAGTAAGGTGTTGCCCTGTACGATTCCACAACCCACTTATTCCGTTGAGAAAGTACTTCATACAGTTATGCATCTTTGCTGTATCATATTGCTTTCTCATCGCGTGCGGCCTGCAGCTCTTGCGTCTTAGCAATACAAGAAAGGGGGTCTTCTTCTATATAGTGTGTGGGGTCTGGATGTAAGATAATCGACTTCAACATTAATACTGTTTGTACTTTCACTTGTACTTTTTCATGTTAAATTAATGGTGGGCGATACTGAAGTACCACTTTGATGTTTTTTTTTTGGACAAGCCATTTTACCATTTTACGAGTTGTGTCTAAATTAAATCGTAGATGTCTTTGATGTATTTTCGTACGAAATTGATTGACCTTGTTTTCCATCTGCATTTATGCTGTCTTTTGCTTTTGTTTGTTTGTTGCCGTAGTTGATTTATTTCTTGTAGTTAGGTATTGTGTGTGTTGTGCCAGGTTTTTTTGTCCAGTGAAGGTTCTTTTCCTGACCTTGTTGTGTACATAATATATCTTCAGTTGTTCTTTTGTTTTTTACGCACAAAACTCGCAGCCGAAGCCAAAGCCAAACCCAAAGCTGAAGCTGAAACTCAAGTTGAAGCTAAACCTGCAGTTTTTATATACTCAGACATTAGCGATATCTATGATTTCTATTTTCGTTAAAGTTACCTACACTTCGTTGTTCATTCCTACTCCCTATCCGCGAGGAGGCCTCTGCATATTAAATCACTTCTTTTTCTAGTATTTTCTTTAATTTTGTCTTTTTGCATTTTGTCGCAGTACGCACCGAAAAATTTTGTACGTCCCGGCTTAACGATAAGTTCAATTTTTTTCGTTCAAACACCCCACCCTATGGTCATCGACTGGCTGATTTACTAAACTTTTTGCGATTACTTAATGTTAACGCACATTCCGCGGCCTAGAACGGAATATTTTTCTGTCGCGTTTTGAGAAGAACTCTTCTGCGGCTTTGTTTGAATTCTTTGCCAACTATATAACCAGCTTGCGCAAACCTATGTATGATTGATACTCAACGCCAATGCTATCGTGGCTTGACGCGTATTGCTCTACTGCTTACCATCAACGACCAATTTTCCACCAGTCGTTATTTTTTTAAACTGCGCCCATAGAACGTTTCCCTCCCTAAACCCAAATTAACATTTCTTCTCATACTCACATTGACTCAGCAAAAACAAAACACCTAATGCAAGTTAACTAGTTTTGTTACATATGTGTCATGAGAATTTGGCACCCACCAACATTCACACGCAGTTATGTCCATGAACCTAGCAGAGCATGGTCAGCAGAACACAATAAAACATATTGCATAATTAGGTGCTAATTAAGGGCCGGTTGTATAAAAGGTTATCTCAACCGCCAGTTCACCAACCGTAGGTTGAATTTCAAGCGGCGGTTAAGTTGTAATGGGTTGTATAAAAGTTTATTTGCTATTCGTTGTGTAACCGGTTGTCGAAATAAATTTTTGAATGTTGGTACCAGTGTGGCGGGTAGCTACAACCAATGGGAAGTAACCGTTTCTTAAACTTTCGTAGCCTCAGTAAATTGTCGTTAAGATTTGATTGTGACATTTTACTGTATACGTTATTTTATTTCCTTTATACGCCTTCGAACTTTTTACCTATCTGTGCACTAATGGCACATTCGTCGGATGAGGGTAGTTCTTTTGATGGTGAAGATCTTCTACATACTAGCAGTAATACTTCAGATGAGAATGAAGAGTTAATAGTGGAATTAAATCGTCGAGTGAGACATCCACGTACTTTTCGAAGCCGCCCTGATAACTTTACGAAATGGACAGAAGAGGAATTTAGAATGAGGTTTCGATTATGTAAAGCAACAACCTCTTTTTTGCTTACACTTATCCAAGACCAATTAGTACATAGAAGTAACAGGTAACACACTTTTTAGTAATTTTGGATTACTTATTTGATTTGACTTATATTACAGAAACCATGCAGTTTCAGCAATGAACCAGTTGTTGCTAACCCTTCGTCTTTATGCCACAGGGAGCATGTTAATAGCTGTTGGTGATTTCATTGGTGTAGATAAATCAACTGCTAGCAGAATAGTAAAAAAAGTTACAACAGCAATTTGCACGTTAGCAGGAATTTACATCCAAATGCCAAGAATGGAAAATGCAATACGAAGAAATCAATTGGCATTTTATAATATAGCTCGATTTCCTCGTGTTATAGGGGCAATTGATTGTACTCACGTACGTATACAATCCCCAGGTAGGTACATACATGTTTGTAACTAATTACTTGACTTTTATACCTACGCTTTTATTTAGGAGGAGATAATGCAGAATACTTCAGAAACAGAAAGGGTTATTTTTCATTTAATATTCAAGTGGTTGGTGATGCATCACTACGCATTTTAGATGTTGTTGCAAGATGGCCTGGATCAACACATGATCAAACTGTCTTTAATAACTCGAGAATCCATGCACGCCTAGAAACTAATGAATTCGGCAACAGCATTATATTAGGTGATTCAGGATATGCGATAAAACAGTATTTAATTACACCCTTACTGAATCCACATACAGAAGGGGAACAATTATTTAACGAAGCCCAAATACGATCTAGAAATCCAATTGAACGTTTATTTGGTGTATGGAAGCGTCGATTCCCTATTTTAAGCTTGGGCATTCGATTATCTTTAGAAACAACACAAAGTGTTATAATAGCATGTGCTGTATTGCATAACATAGCACAAGAAAGGAATGAAGACGGACCATTAGTAGACCCTGATGTTATACTTCCTAATAACGATGATGAAATTGACGATGTAGTAAATGTACCAGAAGCAGGGAATATCAACAATAACTTTAGACAAACTTTCATAGATTATTTTTCTTCATTACCGTAATGTGGTTTATGATTTTGACTGTTTGACATTATAAATAATAAAGAAACTCACTCTTTACTGAGCATTTTTTATTTTATCTATTTGTAATGATAACAGTTCATTTTGCAATTTCAAGTGTTCGTTTTGAAGCTTTATTCTTTGCAGCTGTTGTTGGTGTATTTCCATTTTTCTGTTATCCTCCTTTCTCAGTAGTTCCATTTTTAACTTGTTTAATTCAGCTTTTGTGTTACCTATTTCTTCTAACACTTGCGTTGCTGTATTTCCTGTAAAAATACATGTTTGTACAAATACAACACCATTTTTACCTCTAATGAATCACCATATTTCGTTGGTGTCCCTTTTGCTGTTTGTTGTAACAATTTGTGTTTTCTTTTTCTCAACATGCTTGGCTTATAGTTACTCCAATCTAAAATTATTTTGTTATTAATAAAAACTGTTGAATTTTAGAATCGTATGTTTGTAACCAGTTGTTACTGCAATTTCATGTTCATTCACTGCGGAATCGGAAATATCTATTCTTTCTTCACAAGGTTCCAGATGTTGCATTTCGATATTGCAGGCGTCCGGCAAATCTAGGAAAATAACATCGGCGAAATCTTTTTGTTGAGCAACCGATGAAGATGCCTCAGAGGTCTCTATAAGGCCTACCAAAAGCTCATTAGTAATAAGAAAATATGTAAATCACTCTTACAAGCATCACTGTCACCTCTACATGGTGCAACTCCTTCGATAGACAAATTAATGATGGCTTTTATTTTTTCAAAAATTTCTTTTAGAAAATCTCTTATCATAACTTGGGCAGGACCGCCACCAGTACCATACATTTGCTGCCGTTGTTGAGCAAAATACTTCCTGGCCTCTTTTTAGCGTAACACAACGAAGTTGAGGTAAAGCTTATGTGCTCGTGTTTCCGTCCGTCCGTCCGTTCCATCGAGATCTCGGCCCCTGGGCCACCTAGAGACTTCGCGTTTTCGCTAATTGATAGCTGTTATGGTCTATATTTGCCCATTTCGATCAGTTTCATTTAACTCCATATTTTGCGCAGACTGCGCAATGCCAACTTTCATATTTATAGGGATATTTCTCTCAAATTTTAACCACAGACCCTTCTAGTAAAGATAAACATTTCGCGCATAGTAAAAATTATGTGGGCATGCGCAGTGACTGCGCAATGCCAACTTTCTTATTTATGGATGCTTTAAAATTTTAACCTCAGACGCTTCTAGTAAAGGCAAACATTTCGCGCATAGTAAAAATAATGTGTGGGCATGCGCAGTGATGTGTGGGCATACTGCGCAATGCCAAATTTCTTATTTATGGAGATATTTCTTTGAAACTTTATTTTACTTATTTAACTCCTCTCTTTCTCTGGACGTGGACGTGCTTCAATATGCAGATTCGACATTTTGTGTGCTTTCGATGGCAACGCATCGTTTCAATACTTTGTGTTACGCGGCAATACCCACGAGTGGGTTTTGGAACATTTTTTTAAATTATCGTACTTCGTACGTAACTGCTCTGCAGTTTTTTGATCCATCACGGCACAATTAAATTCATTTGCAATTTTAGACCAAATTGCATCCTAAACATGGGAAACAGTTAGATAGTGCACATACCAATTACTACATATTCAAAGTTACCTTCTCCCTCCAAGTTATAACGTCAGTCTTCTTGCATTCTATCTTATGCTTATACTTGAAAACTATATCTATAAGCGTCCGTACATCTATATCTGTAAAGGTAATTCTTTTTTTGGACATCTATAAATTCTGTACTATTATTTGAAGTTTCATGCTTGAATCTTACCTTAAACGATTTATATAACTTCACAAACAAACATAAACTGACGGTTGAATTCGCTAATCCGTACTTCGAGTGCCGTTTGAGCCAACTGACAGTTCAACTGTCAGTTAGAGCTAAATCGTCGATCATGCAACAGAATTTTTCACTCAACCGCCGGTTCAATTTCAACCTTTAGTCAACTACACTTTATACAACCGGCCCTAAGTGCCCTATTCCCGAATTAAATGCCCTTTTTTTTAAAACTTATTACATGTTTTGCCAGGTTCATATGAACTCAACAGAGCACTACCTCAGAAAACCAAGAAAATGAAAAGTGAACTAACTATAATTAGGTGCTAATTAAGTGCCCTGTCCCCGAATTAAATACTCCTTTTTTTAAAAAATTATTACATGTTCTGCCAGGTTCAAATGAACTCAGCAGAACACTACCTTTAAAAACCCAAGAAAATGAAAAGTGAACTAACTATAATTAGGTGCTAATTAAGTGCTAATTAAATACCCTATTCCCAAATTAAATGCTCCTTTTTTTAAAAATTAATACATGTTTTGCCAGGTTCATATGAACTCAGCAGAGCAGAGAGCACTACCTTAAAAACCCAAGAAAATGAAAAGTGAACTAACTATAATTAGGTGCTAATTAAATGCCCTATCCCCGAATTAAATGCTTCTTTTTTTAAAATTATTACATGTTCTACCAGGTCCATAATTTAAAAAAAAGAGCATTTAATTCGGGAAGATGACACTTAATTAGCACCTAATTATAGTTAGTTCACTTTTCATTTTCTTGGGTTTTTAAGGTAGGGCTCTGGTGAGTTCATATGAACCTGGCAGAACATGTAATAATTTTAAAAAAAAGGAGCATTTAATTCGGAAATAGGGCCCTTAATTATCACCTTATTAGCACCTAATTACAGTTAGTTCACTTTTCATTTTCTTGGTTTTTTGAGGTAGTGCTCTGCTGAGTTCATATGAACCTGGCAGAACATGTAATAATTTTTAAAAAAAGGAGCATTTAATTTGGAAATAGGGCCCTTAATTATCACCTAATTAGTACCTAATTACAGTTACTTCACTTTTCATTTTCTTGGGTTTTTAAGGTAGTGCTCTGCTAAGTTCATATGTACCTGGCAGAACATGTAATAATTTAAAAAAAAGATCATTTAATTCGGGGATAGGGCACTTAATTAGCACCTAATTATAGTTAGTTCACTTTTCATTTTCTTGGGTTTTTAAGGTAGGGCTCTGCTGTGTTCATATGAACCTGGCAGAACATGTAATATTTTTTTTAAAAAAGGAGCATTTAATTCGGAAATAGGGCCCTTAATTATTACCTAATTAGCACCTAATTACAGTTAGTTCACTTTTCATTTTCTTGGTTTTTTGAGGTAGTGCTCTGCTGAGTTCATATGAACCTGGCAGAACATGTAATAATTTTTAAAAAAAGGAGCATTTAATTCGGAAATAGGGCCCTTAATTATCACCTAATTAGTACCTAATTACAGTTAGTTCACTTTTCATTTTCTTGGGTTTTTAAGGTAGTGCTCTGCTAAGTTCATATGTACCTGGCAGAACATGTAATAATTTAAAAAAAAGATCATTTAATTCGGGGATAGGGCACTTAATTAGCACCTAATTATAGTTAGTTCACTTTTCATTTTCTTGGGTTTTTAAGGTAGGGCTCTGCTGTGTTCATATGAACCTGGCAGAACATGTAATATTTTTTTTAAAAAAGGAGCATTTAATTCGGAAATAGGGCCCTTAATTATTACCTAATTAGCACCTAATTACAGTTAGTTCACTTTTCATTTTCTTGGTTTTTTGAGGTAGTGCTCTGCTGAGTTCATATGAACCTGGCAGAACATGTAATAACTGTTTAAAAAAAGGAGCATTTAATTCGAAAGTAGGGCTCTTAATTAGCACCTAATTAGCACCTAATTATAGTTAGTTCACTTTTCATTTTCTTGGTTTTTTGAGGTAGTGCTGTGCTGAGTTCATATGAACCTGACAGAACATGTAATAATTTAAAAAAAAGGAGCATTTAATTCGGGAATAGGGCACTTAATTAGCACCTAATTATGCAATATGTTTGATTGTGTTCTGCTGACCTTGCTCTGCTAGGTTAATGGACATCACGCAGTTGGCTCGACAAGGACTCGGAAACCATTCGCTCAAAGAATACAACAATAAAATCTTGAAAATCCTGTCGTATAATGATACTACTATTATCCCAACATAGAAAAATAGCCCAAAGATCGGTTGAAACCACCCTTCAAGGCGCTTTTACTACCAAAATCAAATTAAATTTTCCCCCACACTCGTGCGTCCTTTTTACTATAGCGAACCATGCCTGATTAAAGGAGGAAACTTGGCAGCGTTTTGGAAAAACCCTACTCCCACGCTGCAAACGAAAAGCTGTAACTTCCTATACCCAGTCAAGCATTAGTGCTAGGTTAGAAACGAGGGCGGCAACCACCCAATTGCTAACGTGATTACAGAGGAACTGAGAGGTTTTCAGAACCTACAGAGGATTTATATTAAAAAGCGATCATCTATCCCGCCCCACCTGAATCTTCTTTAACTGTCACTATATCGCCTATACGGTGTCATACTACACCAAAACCCTTAAATATCCCGACAATCCAAGTCCGCTCACAACACGGCCCCAAAGTTGGACGGACGCGCCCCCAGGTGTAAGACAACTATGGTTTAAAATCGTCACAAATCGAGAAAGAAGTAGTAATCGATAAAATCTTGTCAATTTGCCTTCCAAATTTCAGCGGTAGAGTTGCGGCGGACTGGTTGCTGTTTAGTCGCTTTCTACGGCAAGCAATGTCATCTGCCGTAGGGTTGTTCTTATCCGTCCCTACATGGGTAAATACCAGACGACGAAGAATTACTATGAAATCACCCACCAAAAAAATTAATAAGTTTTAAATCCAACAAAAATCCGCCACCGGTCTTCCGTTACAAATTGGATTCACAGGGTTCAATCAACCCCTACAAGAGATTTATCGGTCACGTTTCAAATAACATTTGATTTACGACTTAATGACTGTGTTTGTTTAATCACGTCCTTCCCAAGCGTCTTAAAAACACGGGTCGGGTGTCAAACTTCAAGTTAATTAAGAGCGCTTCTTTTGCGATAGGACCTAACTTAATCGGACGGGTTTTTGCAACTCATTTATATGTCATTCGTTAATAATGTTTAAGTACTTAATTTGCCGTATTCAAATTTCCAAGTCGATGTTCTAATTAATGCCCATTGTTGATTGGGCTAAACATGCATGGCCTTGCAGTTCCAATGCTCGTTTTAATAGGAACCAAAATCTGCTAATTAATTCGGTCTCGCCCTATAGCGCATTCGCACCTCCAGATGCAATATGGGATCTTATGGACTAATTGCCTCTCTTACTAGTTTGCGTCATTCTTCGATAATACTATCCTTGTTTCTAACCGCATTGATGTTAATTTGACATATAATTAAATGGAAGTATTAAAACAAAACATAATCTCCTTGTGCTGTCATTGTCACGTTTGGCAAGCATGTACTGTATGTCCATAAGCACCATACTGCATCTGGAGGTGCGAACGCGCTATACGAGTAGTAAAATTACACGGTGTCATCAGAAGTGAAGATATTTTGTACCGTACACATCCTCTTCGGAAACTGTAATCTTTAGCGAAAGATACTTAGTTGCTTGTGAATATACAGGGTGTTTAAAAAAAAGGTCAGATATTTTATCTGTGAATAGTACTCATGAAAAGAAATAAAAAAGTTGTAATAAACATAGGCCCGCAAGTTCAATGTTTCAGAGATAGGGTTGATTTTGTGTTTTATTTTAAATCCTGGTTTTATGCATTCGAACGAATAAGGGCTTCCGTTCAACGAAGAATGTGATTTTTTTAAGACAATACAAAATCTACTCTGAAACAGTTAATTTGCGGACCTAGTTTATTACCACTTTTTGGCTTCTTTTCATGACCACTATAAGTGCGGATAAAATATCCGACCTTTTATTTGGAACACCCAGTATATAATTTATTAATGTAGCGAGGTACCCAGTTTAGTGTTTACAATGACGTAAATGATAAATACAAATTATGGTGCCGTTACTGTTCACCCGTTTAGTACACAGACCACGGTTTAGTGTGGTGTTTATTACGTTTGAAATCATTTGGCATTCCTATTTTCAGTCTGGAAGTAAATAAACTTCTCTTTCTAACACTTTCAATTAGCTTTTTTTCTTACTATAAACACTAGGAAATTTATATATTCATATGTATATTTTGTTACCCTTAATTCGCTGAATGAACGATTGACACTTCTAGAAACCCATAGCAAAAATTTCCAGCAAAAGATGGCATCTTAAAATCAAAGATATAGACAACAAAATGCTAGAAAGCTGTGGCGCTAATCTCGAGTTGGACTCAGGGCCTGAGGATCAATGCAAGTGATTTTAAAGAAGAATTTACATTATACAGGGTGAACATTTTGTCTGGAACACTGAATATATCTTCAAAACAAACATTTTTTAAAGCAGCTTTCTATGGTATCCAAAATTAAAAAAAAATGGCTACCAATCTACGTACTTTAAATTTGTGGTCAGTGGCGTACTTCTACACGGGCAGAGGGGGTATATTTTTTTAAATAGTACCCTCTAGTTTTCATTACATATTCTTAAAGAGTACATTTTTTGGAATATAGCGGCACAAAAAACTTAAAGTACCACATAATCAAATTTAAGAGAAAATCAAATTAAGAAAAATAGTTAATTAATTTCATAATTTTACTAGCTTGATCTCATTTTTGTTGTCATATTCAAAAAAGTACATTCTTTAATAATACCTCACCAAAAAAATAGTACTGTCCATTAAAAAAAAGTGACTCTCGGAGTAGACGCACGTCACTATATAAATAATTTTTAAGCATGTAAATTTACTTAATTTTTTATTGATTTTTGATACAATAAATTGCGTTCACATAGGTAACTAACAAAAGAATAACGTTTTTTTCAACGCAAAATGAAATTGCTAAATTAATTTTAAAACAATATCATTTTCCTTAATTTTGATTTTTCTCTTCAATTTGAATATGTAATATAATCAATTTTTTATGCTGCTATATCCAAAAAAGTCTCTCTTCAAAAATATGTAATAAAAACTAGCAGTAGTCATTAAAAAAATAATAAACACTTAACCATGCAGAAGTACGCCACTGACCACAAATTTGAAGTGCGGGGATTGGTAGCAAACATTTTATAATTTTGGATACCTACCATAAAAAGTTTCTAAAAACGTTGCTTTGAAGATAATATTCAGTGCTCCAGACAAAATTTTCACCCTGTATATCTAGTACGTTGCCCTTTTCCATGAAATCTTTGGATGTTTTAAATTATTGAAGCCAAAACAACCTAATTAGTTTATTATCCAAATACTGTTGTAGCTATAAGCATCCTGTATCTGCCGCTAGTGGCGAGAGAAATTTTTCTAAACTTCAATTATTGAAAAATTACCGAAGAAATTCTTTAAGCCCATCAAAATTTAGAAATCTGGCATTAATTTCTATTGATGAATCATCACGAACTGCCCCTCCAGACTACACGTCTCTTACTGGCGAATTTGCAGAAGGCTAAAACTGTAGTTGGTTGTTCTTAAAATTTGCACAAGAAATATGCCGATGGTGAAAAATTAGTTGCATAATTGAAATTTTAAATGTCACTGCCAGTAAATCAGTTCTACCATTTACCAACCAATTTTTAATGATATTTTTGCTGGACTAGGCCGGGAAATGCTTTTTGGACACATTTGGTTATAGGCAAATCAAAGTTTTGAAACAAGAAGATAAAAAGCAACGCATACAGCATGGACAAATTCTACACAGTTTCCAACAATTGTGACTGAGCCATTTTTTGGAAATCGCGTAATTTTTTGTACAAGAATCGTTGTTTTCAAACGGGAAAGCAAAAGCGTGACTTGATAATATTTTTGGTACCTACTGTCAGCGATTTCAATATCTCCGAGAATCTTCACAGATTGCTACGAAACGTGCCACAAAATTAGATAATTAATTAGAGAAGTTTACGTGCCTTTTTCCGCGCCCTACACGCAGTGAATAATACGAAAATAGTAAAAGTTCAACAAATAAATTTCAACAACCGCACAATTTTCATATCAATTTGCGGTAAGAAACGAGACCGCCCCGTACCGCCTCTTCCGGTAAAATAAATCAAGCAAAATCCGCTTGGAAAGAACATTTACATTACGCTCAAAATCGACGCAAACGTAAAGTTATTCCGTAAAAACAATGGATACACCTTATGCATTTGAACATTATGAATCAAACGAGCCGCGAAACCAGCCCACTACGACGTGCGCACGATTTTTCGTACGCCCTCTCCGTCGCACGCGCACAGCCCTCGATACCGCCGACTCACTCTTTCTCATTATGGGAAGGCAAACCACATTTTCACCACACAATGCTTCCAATGACTATACAACTTAGCAGTGTGCCAGTCTTGTTTTGACTGCCTGCGTAAACAGTTTACGGTGATTTGCGTCAAAAGAAAAACGCGCACGTTAGGTTGTTAAAACGCGAGAGTGCGCATGCGACCCGCCGTTTTCAAAGGACAAATTCGCGCTTCTTTGAGGCGACGCGTCCGTCTTTGAAAATCGTCCGAAAAGTCCGCTCGCCAATTGCATATGTGTGACAAGTGCGTGACGTAAAAACCCGGCGATTCCCGTTAATACAAATGAATCATCGCAAACAAAACGTGAAAGTCAACAATATGAACATTGCTTTTTTTTCAAATTAATCCGGAAAAGGCTCGAATTCTTCGAGTAATTTTCACGCTCGTTTTACAAAAAAAAAACATCGAGTAGGTTGCGGGTTACTCGAGTGAAACGTGTGAGAAATTCGGTGGCCCCCCAAGAAAAAACTCGTCCTCTATGCATCTACCCGTTGGCTTGACAAATTGCTACTCGGTGTCGGAAGAAGCCTGGCCGAAGATATCGACGATGGAACCCTCGGGGGGTTATGGTAACAATCAGGATCTCTGGTGGACCGAACACTTAATTCACGAGATACAGTCTGAACATCCCGGTGAATTAGTTCGTACAGGTAGTCCGTATTTGTTGTGTTCACAATTGCCGTCGCACTGGAGATCGAATAAGACGCTTCCGGTCGCGTTCAAAGTGGTCGCTCTTGGTGATGTCGGTGATGGAACAGTCGTTACAGTCCGCGCCGGTAACGATGAGAATTACTGTGCTGAGCTGCGAAATTCGACGGCCGTCATGAAGAATCAGGTTGCCAAATTTAATGATCTCAGATTTGTGGGGAGAAGCGGACGGGGTAGGTGCACATTTTAAATAATATATACTTTTGAAAGGCTTCCATCACGCAGTTGTTTATTACGCAATGAAACGCTCTAGTTATCGAAATTTCTACAAATTGAAATATCAAGGATCATTAGATTATTTCAATTTTTCATTTCACCGAATATTTTTTGCAATTTGGACAAACAGAGCGAAAACGACGCTCAATTAACTACGCAAAAACGTGCACGTACATATTTTTAAATGTTTTGAATCGTTTTTGCGATTCGCCTCGAAGGTTTTCTTACACCTATTATAGTAACCGCAAGAAAATACGCGACAGAGAATTACAAAATTTTGAAAGAAAATAACAAGATTCTTGAGGAAATTGCCAATTGCCGATTGGAATTTCAAAAGGTACAAGTGTAGGCTTTTTGCAGTTGTCGGAAACACCAATTCCCAAGATTTTCCGGTTTTCAAAATTTTCAAATTTTGCAGCAAACTACGACTAGGTTTATAAGAAAGAATTAAACATTCGAAATTCCCCATCTCGACTCCTAATTTGGTTTTAGAGTTGAAAAACATTAGGATTTATATGACTAATGTAGGTAGGTATCATAGAAATTAATAAAATAAGTACCCTCGGGCCTTTTTTAGGAAAAGCGGCCGATTTTCAGATGTCTGGAAAACTACGTCTCACCTTACATCGCAAACCTTGGCGTGTTTTTCAATGGCTACTCAGCGAATTCCCTTGCATTAGTATCTTTTTCACCAATAAAACATCGTTAAAGATTCCCAAAAGGTTCTATTTAAAAGACTAAAACCTCCACTAAAACTTACACGGTGTTTGTAATAATATTATTTTACTAGATATTTCGGCCAATATATAGTCTATAGGGCGATTATGATTCTGAAATAAACTCAGAAGAAAATAATTGTGCGATTTAGATTAATTCGTGTAGCTGGATCCAGCCTCACTGTATCCCAGCGCCAGATCTACATTGTATCAATGTAAACACTTTACAATTCAGTGCAACGTCCGCAGTGTCCCATCACGAGGTCCTTCAGCACTGGTGTGGAATAGTCGTCGGCTATTTTTTGATCTAGTGATTTTGCGTGCAGTTACTAATGGACGTGTATAAACGGCACGGCTCAGTGGCGATGCTAACCCATCGCTGGATCCCATCAGTGACGCTGGATCTGCTTTAAAGACTGTTACTATACAGGGTGGTGACTTGTGTAACTCATCTAAGGGATTTCAACGTAAAATTCATAACATGCGATTATTGGCTCCCCAAATTATTTTAGAGCAAAAATGTATTAAGGTTTTTTGTGGAAAAATTTTTTTACGCCAATCAGCCGTATTAGTTTTCAATTTTTTTCGAATTTTTTTCATATAAAGAGGGAAAATTGGGAAAATAAAACCCGCATCTTTTTTAATAATCTGCGATGCCATGGCATTTTCTAACACAAAAAGATATCCAGTTATCAATAAGCAGCAGATCGAAATGGATTTTATGATCGACTTGGTTACTGCCTTGCAGTTAATGGTAACTTATTCGAACATTTATTGTAAATTGTCATATTAGGAAACCGTTTTTAGTAATTTGGTCTTTCTTTATGTTGAATTCGCTGTTCTAAATATACAGGGTGACAATTTGAAAACTTACCACCCCCCATATCTTAGTAAATAAACGAGATATTTAAAAAAATCAAAATCCGTTTCGGTAATTCGGAGGGGGAATCACAATGAGATAGTTGGCGACGCACCCCCTCCAACCCCCTGCGCCCCAGCCACCCCAACTTTTAAATCTTAAATAGTGACCCCCCATGTGTGATACGTCGTTGGAAAGCTCTGAAAAAATGCTTTCCAACCATACCAAATAGCATTACATTTAGGTTAGTAATTATCGTGCAAATCAAAAAATAAACTAATATGATACATTTGAAATCTGTCGTATTTAAAACGCAACCGGCGAACATAGACGAACTAAGACAGAGAATAATTCAAGAATGTCGAAATATTGCAAAACCAACATTGGAAAGGTTCGACAAGAGTTTGAGAATAGATTATAACTGGCGATCAAAAATGAGTTGCTGTCGAGTCGGCTTTGGAAGTTCAAGTTAAATACGATTTTCCGTGTCTATTTTTTGATTTGCACGATAATTACTAACCTAAATGTAATGCTATTTTGTATGGTTGGAAAGCATTTTTTCAGAGCTTTCCAATGACGTATCACACATGGGGAGTCACTATTTAAGATTTAAAAGTTGGGGTGGCTAGGGCGCAGGGGGTGTGAGGGGGTGCGTCGCCAACTATGTCATTGTGATTCCCCTTCCGAATTACCGAAACGGATTTTGATTTTTTTAAATATCTCGTTTATTTACTAAGATATGGGGGGTGGTAAGTTTTCAAATTGTCACCCTGTATACTTTTTGATAGAATTTGATTTGTTTTATAGCTGTCATTCCATGGCATGACGGATATTGACGTAGTTTTTGTAGGTATTATAAAATTCCATGGCATCACAGATTATTGAAAAAGATGGGGGTTTTATTTTTCCAATTTTCCGTCTTTATTATGCAAAAAATTGAAAACTAATACGGTTGATTGACGTAAAAAATTTTTTCCTACAAAAAACCTTAATACATTTTTGCTCTAAAATAATTTGGGGAGCCAATAATCGCAAGTTACGCAAGTCACCACCCTGTATATATATATATATATATATACCATTTAGTGCCAATGGAAATGGGGGTTATGGTAACCAAGCAAGTTATAATATACTTCACTATATTGCGTTCGCGCTTCCAGATGCAGTACGGGATCTTATCTCTCTTACTATTTCGCGTCATTCTTCGTAAACGCTATTCTTGTTCCTCACCGCAATGATGTCAAACTAACATATGATTGAATTGAAGTATTAAAACACAACTTCTGCTGTAATTGTCACTGTCAGTGTCGTGTACCGTATGTCCATAAGCACCATACTGGATCTGGAGGTGCGAACGCGCTATAGTTGAAATCTAACGCGTAAAACCTCTATTACTAATTACTATGGAATATTCTAGGGAGTATTGGATAAAATTTATTTATATCTTTATACAAAGGGAACATTTTGTCTGGAACACCGGATATATCTTGACCTGGTATCCAAAAATATAAAAAAAAATTGTTACCAATCTATACGTACTAAATTTGTGGCCAGTGACGTACTTCTGAATTATCAGGTGGGGGCATTTTTTTAATAGCAACTCAAAACTCAAAATAAGGAAAATAGTGTTGCTAATTAATTTTGTAACTTTAGTAGTTTGATCATGTTAATTTATGTTGTCATGTTAAAAAATAGTTCTTTCCATTTTAAAAGTGGCCCTCTTAGTTCTGTAGACGCACGCCACTGTAAATAATTTTTAAGAATACCTATAGATTTACATTTTTAGTGATTTTTGATACAATAAATTGCTTTGACATAACTAACAAAAGAATACAGTTTTTTTTTCAACGCAAACTAGTGAAATGTTAACATTAATTAACACAACTATTTTTGTTAATTTGAGTTCTTTTAAGCTTTATTATTTAATGTAAGCTTTTATGTTGCTAATCCAAAAAAGTGTACTCTTGAAGAATATTAAACGAAAACTAGTGGCTGCGAAAAAAACCATGCAGAAGTAAGCCACTGACCGCAAATTTAAAGTACGCAAATTGGTAGCAAACTTTTTATCTTGTTTTGGAGATATACCCAGTGTTCCAGACAAAATGTTCCCCCTATATATAAAATTCTCCTGCACGTGTGTTTATGACTGAACTACTAAACGGCTGGACGGATTATGATGAAATTTTTATTGTGTCTCTCTGTGTCCTCGAACTGATTTTTTATTTTCGTTGATGTCTCACTCTGCTACTTCGCGTGCCGATTGATACATGCGTCGCACCGTGCCAATGTGTTTACATTCTACATTCTGTTTGCTGGATTTCTATCATATATCCGTCAATATCGATCGTACCAAGTCGCGGGGGAAAATATTTTTAGTTGTTTATACCATCCACTAGAGGGCGAAATGCGGTGTAAAATCTTTTTTAAAGGAGTGTCGTGGTCAATTCAAGGTAAGAAAGAGACGGCAATAGTAGGTTCCGTCTATCACACTCCCGTTAGTAGAGTCTTGTGTTGTTTTTTTTAAGAAAATCACGTTCGAGGACATTTATTTCAAAACGCAGGATAAACCATAATAGATACGAAAGAATGTGTAGAACTAAATTTCGTAGGAGGCCATGTATCTTATCTTCAACCCTGTTTTAAATAGTAAGCGCCAAATGAGTGGGTATATTACCAGGTTAAGATACACCAAGATACACGTATACAATCGCAAAATTTCTTTCAGGATTTTTATCTCCGTATCATTTTTACAACGTTTGAAGAAATGAACAGTGCAAAACGTCAATATGAACCTCTGTTGACCGCGTCCATGAAACCATACAGACATACGGATAGCTGGCTACAGACAAATGTGAGTTATCGTTACATGGCTGATTTTTTTAATAAAATATCCTGATAAATAGCCAAGTAGAAATCGTCATGTCTTCCAGCGAGATCCCATGGCTTACCTATGGGTGGGAGGGGCGGTCAAATCTGTCAAATGTTAATAAAACCTGACTTTCCGTCATTGAATTGGACTTAAATAGGTACCTATAGTTAGTGATTTGAAACCACCAAATTGTATATTTGTTTGCACGATGGCTATGCTGTAATTTTTCTATAAAAACATAATTATTTATTAGTTTTTTCGATCTTTTTAATACCCCTGTTAGTAGATATTTTTAATTTCAATAGGTATAGAATTTAATTGTGCTCGGAATAGGGCAACTCTTTTCCCATTTCACCAAAATTGTATCTCCTGGTATCCCAGATAAAGGTTACTAAAGTTGTTTACTATCCAATTTGTCTACATGAGAATTTGGGAAACGGCAAGAGAAGAGAAGAAACAACTTGTAAATCAGCATGATTAAAGCACATTTTGTGGTAATACAGATCAGTATTT